TCATTGCGTATGATGTCGGCCACAGTATCCAGAAAATGCAAAAAAATTACCGTTGTCGTCATGAGATCGGGAAGGCATTCCCTCAGAACTCCTTGACCCGCCAGCACCTCACTCGGCATACTTGGGGCCCATGGTTGATCCTAGGGGAGAATCTTGAAAACTATTTTTATTAACTACTGTAGTTTTAATGCTAGGTTTCCCAGATCTGATTTGGTTGCCATTCAAATACTTTGGCGTCATTTAAACACACACACGGACTAGTGTTCGAAGTATCGCTGAAGTTTTCATTCAGATGAACGCTCGAGACCCAAAAAATGCAAAGTTGGCGGAACAACGTATAAAAGTGGTCCCTTGTACCATTTTATTTTTCGGCAATGCGGATGGTATAATTCATCATGACGTTTTTGCGGCGCCACTGCTTTTGCAATTCTACCAGGTTTGTTTTTTGAACCACTTTGTAAATATGCTTGAGGAAAACCAGCGCTCATTTCAATGGGCTGCCAACCTCCTAATTGGAAAGCACTCAAGCTGACTATCAGGACACCAGACCAGCCAAAGCTTAGTCCCCACATGGAATTTTAGGGCTCTCTGCAGTTGTGTGCAAATATATGGGGTCGAAGTTCTTCATATACTGGCAACCGCAGTCAGTTGCCAATAAGATATCTTAAAATAGGTAAACTTCCTGCCTTCAACACAGATGCGGGTGCCCNCCCTAGTTAAAATCCCTACACCGAGGAAGATTGTGGGACGAACAGTTCCTCAACTATACTAATTGAAGGAGAAAGTTTGGATCATCGATTTCCTGACGTTACAGTTTAGGAGAAGGGACAGTCTGTGCTGTGATAAAGTATTCTTGCCCAACTAGAAGGGTAATGAGGGATAAATTATGGAGTAATTGACGATAATCGGTCCCTTTTTGGGATGCGCCCCTCATTCGACTTCCCACCAGAACTGTTGTGACGTTTTGAAACTTATATGACCTATACAATGAATCGCCGTGGCCGGCTGATGTACAAGTCAGTACTTTTATCCTCCCAGACAAATGTGGTTACAGTTAACAAACCGGGACAGATAGAATGCTTGGTCGGTCTAGGCAGGCGTCGATCCGAGGTTCGATTACCTACAGCATGAGTGATAATGCGCCTCTTCCCACTACACCGGTGATTCAGAGTTATATTTCAACTGGAGCGAGGATTGAAATGGTTCCCCGGGGAGCGTTACCCGAAATTGCTATTATTGATCAATGGCCCTCTCTGTATTTTATGAAGTGAGGATATTTTTTCAGCGTGTGCTTACTACTGCAATTCGAAAGATTGAAACCCCTGAAGCTTTGTCTGCATTTGAAGTGGGTAACAGGCCAAGATCAATTGTCTTGAATCTTAAATTTCTACTATTTTCTTCTTTTTAGCAATCGGCGCGTGCTACTGTTTTGTTCGTAATCTCCAATGAAATCGAGGAAACGTCAGATATTTTGCTGTTTGCAAGGAGATTTTTAGATGTGAAATTTGCATATATTATGAAAGAGTAAGTGACTACATGACAGTATATGAATTACTTGAAAAATGGCAATATTAAGCTGCGTTCAAAGTCGGCAACGCTGTAGCAAGCATCATCCGTTTAGAAAGTGGCATGGCGTGAACGCTGAGTTCCAAGGCCTTCTACCATCGCATGATTGTAGCAAAAAAACTTATTCGGGAAATCCCCCCAGCAACAATTTTGCTAAAAACCTAGTAAAGGGAGGAACTGTATCGCGCATCTGCTGGTCCTACAGTGGGGCATGACGCCCCTTTTGCTCGATCACGTTGGCTGTTGCTAGTTAGTTGTCTCGCGTACACGTATGGCGAGTCAACTAGCCAACAATTTGCATAACCAATCAGTAGAATTTCTCGAACGTAATGTTTGTTCTATGCTCAAAATCAGCTGTTTGATTTTATTTTTCATTTTTTGTGGTATTAAAAAATATTAATATGGTACTACTCAGGACTGACATCGCGAAGGACTTCCCTGCCTATATGTATGTTCACCGCAAGGGTGAAAATAGAATACCTCTGGGACAAAAGATGTGCAGAGAGTTAATCGAGGACTTCATCAAGGTTGATGTTTGTCTCTTAACTTTTTTTCGAATGACGTTGCCGATGCAAAAATTATTGACATGGTTACTCCCAACTCCCCTTGTTCCATTGACATGCTATCGAAGCCCCTTCTAGGCGATTGAAATCGCTTAAAGTGAAACGTTTGATGTATACTGCTTCAATAGTGGGCGATTTTAGATAGCCGGGTAGGTATAGACCCCAGTTCGTGGCGAATCCTACAACTATGTAGCTAGTTGCCTTGTCTCGCCGCGTGGTGTGCCATAAAGTGTAATGCCTGTTGCGATGAAAAACTATGATCTATTTCCGTTTAGATGCAGACCCATCCACCAGTCTTCAATTATCCTGCTGATGCCTATCTTCTGTCAACATTCAATGAAGATGCTCACGTATTCTACGCAAATAATCTTCTAGGAATATCACGTAAGGCAATGTTATTGTGTAATTTCGGATTTTTTGATTGTTTGAATTCTTCTGGGCAGTGACAGCCATGGCACATGGCCGTCTTATTCATGCCGCGGCCTCAACACGTGCTGTATACCCTAAGCGTTGGAGATCTAACCATTCTCTCGCGATATTTCCTTTCATGACAGGCAACTCTTTGAGCTTGAAGAACTGGCTGTATTGGTGCAGGTGGGTACTACCCTAGCCAGGCTTAAGACCCAATCCATGACGAAAATGGTTTCTGACATGAGATTCCTCCCAAGGGCACCAGGGACGCTGTCGTGTCAAAAAACGGCCTAAACAGGGCGTAATAGTGACCAAAGCGGACGAGTTTTCACGTGCTGTCGATGCTGCCCATGTTGCACAATTTGCACTGAGACACACACGTTTCACGCTGGCAGCTTAATGTAGTCAGCTGTACGTGGTGCACAGCTTGTTTGGCGCAGTGGCGTTTTAGGACAGCTCGTCCAAATAGCACTTTAATGGAACTTCTGTCGTCACATTTTCGTCCAATCTCTGATTTTACGGGTAACGGAACTTCTCCCCTATCGCGGCATTCCCCCTTGCGGCATGCGGCAGATGTCACTGCAATTACCGTACTCACCCCGCCTCCCGAAAATCGATAGGACGCGATATTTTTCCTTGACTGGCTTGCTCTTTCATTGGATTTTATCGTTTTTTCTTCTGTTTCTTTTTAGTTTTCATGTTTATTAGACTTGATTAATTAAAATGACTTCTCTTATATAGACGACGATCAATACCGCATTGAAATTGAAGGGAGCGACCAGCCAATTCAAATGATTAAAGGACTCCCTACCTCACAAAGTGCGCGCTCCAATCTTTCTTCGCAATCCTGCGATAGGCGGCGGCGGGTGCGGCGTGTGCGACGCCGTGTTAGGGGAGAAGTTCCCGGACCCCTGATTTTACTACCTATTCAAACCGATATATTTCTTTAAAACCGCCGATCTTCGCGTTTTCTTCACCTCTTTTGACTATTGTGGACCATCACTTATATTTTTCGTCTAAATACAGAAACCCCAAAATTACTGTGAACTGTCCCTTCAAGTTCTTCAGCCGAACTCGGTCTTGACAGTTTGGCACATATTTGGAGAATTAAGTCGCAGTTGAAACAGGCAGAGTTCGAACCCAAGGACCATGCAACTATCATGTCGCTGAGCGACACAAATCCAACTAAGTGTCCCTAGAACAACTTCATAGTATACAGTATCGCCACGCACTAATTACAGTTCTTCTGCTAGAAAGTGATCGAATTGCGATCATGAGTGCGGAAGAGTCCATGGCACGACCTGAACTGTCAGTGTCTCTTTTCTTGCCCCTTATAAATGGAGTTTGTACCGTTAAAAAAATGAAAATTCCTTTAGAAAGCAACGAATGGCTCCAAAACATTGGAAATGCGCGACGTGGCAAGTTTGTTGTGCTTCTGTGTAACGTTGACGACCCAGAGCTCGAGTACGCCATGGATTATCTTGCCCTGAAACGTGATGCTCCCCCATATGTACGAATATTCCTGAGATCCAACAACAGCTTGTACAAGTAAGTCCCGCTTGTGCCCTTAGGATGGCCCACTCTTTGGGAAAGCTATTCCGCCAACAGATAAGTTTCGACAGAATTCCAGGATGGAAGACAGTTTTACTGGAGAAGTTAACAAAGAAAGTGTGATTGCCTTCTTAACCGCTTTCGAAGAGGGGAAATTGAAGCCATATATAAGGTTTCCTGAACCTCCTGCAGGACTGGATACGGCCGAAGAAGTGGATACGGCGCCGTTGAAAACTCTGGTAACAGCCAATTACACTAAGGCAAGTTGAAGTATTCATTAGGTATGCGACCTTTAGATGTGGATAGCTATTTTCTCCCAACAGAGTATGTGAACTATTTAGGTGGTGCAAAATGACACCATAAATGCGCTCGTCTTCCTTCACACCACTGAAAACCAACATGTTGTTTCGTTGATCGAAAAAATAGCAGAAATTTGTGAAGGGATTGGCAGTATACTTGTGGCCAAGATGGATCTGCAACAAAATGCTTTTCCACCAAACTTCCTTCCAATCGAGAAAACCCCTTCACTGCGGATGTACCAGGTGAGCCACTGACATTGTTTGACCAATGAAAGCACAGTTCATGATAATTTCAAGTATCACTCTTAAGTTGAAAGTGAAAGTTTTAGTTGGGAGTAGCGCATTGATTGGGAAGAAAACGAGAAAATTCGCAGAATTGGCGGATTGTAAGGCTTCTTGAAAGAAGGGAAAACAGGGAGTTGTGCGAGGTTGCCATGACGGGAGAGGGGTTTTTTGGACGAGATTCCAGTCGTGATCTTACTGTAGTAAGCTCAAAATGTCGAAAACTAAGTTGCAATTGTCGCAATGATCACGTCTACTTGTCAACATGTGTGCTCCATCGTGGGTGGTGCAGACTCCACCACTCCACTAAAACTCGTCCGTTTTTGGATGTGATCAAGTAGATCCTTGGGAATGCGTCCTATCTGGGGGACGGAACTTACGCGCGTCCGAGGATGCGCGCGGCAAATTGCGCGGCGAAGTGCGTGGTGATTCGAACGNNCGCGCATCCTCGGACGCACGTATGTACCCGTACCCCGTCCTAACTAGGCCTCTTGGTGGTTCCCTTCAGAACAATAACTCCTTTATGTCCAGGCTACTGGAGAGCCAGGGAATCCACATTTTTCATGTGTACAAAATTCTTCACCGATCATGAGGCTATACATCTCTCTTCCACCAGTTCATCACAGCTTGACTTAGGGCTACATTATTTACAACCCGATAATTTTCTATTTGCAGGCACGTACAAATGCTGAAACGATATATCCAGATGACGTCCTAACCGAGCAGGGAATCCTGAAGTTCATTGAACAATCTGCAGGGATTATTATAGACCATCAGGACCTGCCAACAGAAAGTGCAGCAAAAACAGAGCCAGGGACTGTGGATGACGCACCTAAAACAGAATCAGGGGTTGCAGGAGATGCACCGAAAACAGAGCCAGGGGTTATGGAGAATGTAGCCAAAATAGAGCCAGGTATTACGGAAAACGTACCAAAAACAGAGCCAAGCATCGTGGATAGCATACCCATAACAGAGTCACCGGTCGTGGAAAATGCACCAAAACCTGAGGAAGGGAACGTGGAAAATGTACCGAGAGCAGAGCCAAGAGTTATGGAAAACATACTGCAAACTGGGCCGAGGATTGTGGAAACCGCACCGAAAATTGAGCCAGTGGTCGTGGAAACTGCACCGCAAGCAGAGACAAGGGTCGTAGAAAATGTACCGCAAGCAGGGCCGAGGATAGTGGAAACTGCACCGCAAGCAGAGCCAATGGTCGTGGAAAATGTACCGCAAGCAGGGCCGAGGATCGTGGAAAATGTACCGCAAACAGAGCCGAGGATCGTGGAGAATATACCGCAAACACAGCCCAGGATAGTGGAAACTGCACCAAAAATTGAGCCAAGGGTCGTGGAAAATGTAGCACAAACAGGGCCGAGGATTGTGGAAACTGCACCGAAAATTGAGCCAGTGGTCGTGGAAACTGCACCGCAAGCAGAGCCAAGGATCGTGGAGAATATACCGCAAACACAGCCCAAGATAGTGGAAACTGCACCAAAAATTGAGCCAAGGGTCGTGGAAACTGCACCGCAAGCAGGGTCAAGGATCGTGGAAAATGTACCGCAAACAGGGCCGAGGGTCGTGAAAACTTCACCGAAAATCGAGCCAAGCGTCGTGGAAAATGTACCGCAAACAGGGCCAAGGACCGTGGTAATTGCACCAAAAACCGAGCAAAGGGTCGTGGAAAATGCGCTGCAAACGGAGCCAACAATTCTGGAAAATGCACCGCAAACAGAGCCAAGAATTTTGGAAAATGCACCGCAAGCAGAGCCAAGAATTCTGGAAAATGCACCGCAAACAGAGTCAAGAATTCTGGAAAATGCACCGCAAACAGAGCCAAGAATCCTGGAAAATGCACAGCAAACAGAGCCAAGGATCGTAGAAAGTGCAGCGAAACCAGAGCAATGGA